TTTGACGGGGTCATTTCATCATTTGGTTTTGTTGAAAGTCCCTTAGATCCTTGTATATACCAGAAAGTTAGTGGGAGTAAAATCTGTTACCTTGTTTTATATGTGGATGATATCCTACTCGCCACTAATGAGGTGGGGATGCTTCGTGACGTGAAACAGTTCCTTTCCAAAAACTTTGATATGAATGATATGGGTGAAGCATCTTATGTCATTGGCATAAAGATTCATAGGGATAGGTCCCGGGGCATACTGGGTCTATCGCAGGAAACCTATATTAACAAAGTTTTGGAAAGGTTTCGGATGAAAAACTGTTTACCGAATGTTGCTCCCATTGCAAAAGGGGATAAGTTTAGTTTGGACCAATGTCCTAAGAACGAGTTGGAGACGGAGCGTATGAAGGATGTTCCATATGCTGAAGCGGTTGGATGTCTCGGCTATATTCAAGTTTGTACAAGGCCCGACATTGCCTTTGCCGTTGGTATGTTAGGGCGGTACTTGCATAATCCAGGCTTAAACCACTGGGGAGCTGTGAAGAGAGTTCTGAGGTATCTCCAAGGTACTAAAGATTTCAAGTTGGGTTTTAGGCAGACGGACATCCTGGATGTTGTTGGTTATTCTGATGCGGACTTCGCTGGCTATGTTGATTCTCAGAGATCGACTTCCGGGTACGTCTTCATATTGGCTGGTGGGGCAATTTCATGGAGAAGTGTTAAACAATCCTTAATAACTACTTCTACCATGGAAGCCGAGTTCGTGTCTTGTTTCGAGGCTACTTCGCAAGGTGTGTGGCTCAAGAATTTCATCTCCGGGCTTAGAATTATGAATTCTATATCTAAGCCACTGAAAGTTTACTGTGACAACTTAGCTGCAGTCTTCCTAACTAAGAACGAAAAATGTGGGAGTCGAAGTAAACACATCGACATCAAGTTCTTAGCCATTAGGGAGCGTGTCAAGAATAAAGTTGTATTCATTGAACACATTAATACTGAGTTGATGCTAGCAGATCCCTTGACTAAAGGCATGCCTCCGTCTAAATTCAAGGATCTGATTCAGAAAATGAGACTTTCGTCCACTTTGTAATTTTGTATATACATTCAGTTTAATAATGAAATTCTTTTGCACTTAAGTTTTTTTCTTCAGATACTTCAGATATTTTCTTTGAGTGTATACACAATTCAGTTTATCTCAATAAGAAAATATACTTCAGTGGACTTGAAATGAACATATGGTTTGTTTCATTAAGTTTGATTACCTAAAGGACTCAAGGACAGTTTGCATTTGATCATAATGGATATTACTTGCGCTAAGGAGGACATGTCATTATGGTTGGTGTAAATCTTGTTTTTGGATTCCGTATTTGCACCAAGTGGGAGAATGTAACGTTTTCCTTGTGTATTATTATTATTATTATTATTATTATTATTAAGTTTATTATATAATAACAATAATATTTAAGTGGTGCAAATCAATAGGCTGACTAAGTATTAGAACTTAGTTAGCATTAGGTAATTAGTTACCTACATTGATGGGATGTAGGTTATTTAGACTCCCAAGTCCCTCTCACTGCTCGGTTGACGTATCATACACCATCTAAAGTCACTGAGAGAAGTGAGAGAAACACAACTAAAACTTACGGAGATTTTATAGCAGCCCGAGGAACTTCTGTTCATCAGACCACGAGTCCCTGGTGATCAAGATCTAAAGCTATGGCTGGAGGTTGGTGATCTAAACTCTGTTTTAATAGCCACGTATTTATTAATTGTCACGTGGATTATGTGCTTACATTTGGTATCAGTGCCATTTTTTATCTCTGCCTAGCCTTTTGTTCAATTGCATAATACAGTCATTTACATGCTCATCACTTGTTCTACCATTAGTAAAGCTAAATTTGAAACTATTTCTGCATCATCAATCCCATGCTCAACAAAGATGTCAACTTTACCACATTTACGAGCCAAGTAAATCTGCAAAAGTGTACTAGAATCATTATTCAACAATTGTAGCTTCTTCATACTCTCATGGGACAATTTAAAAGAAAATTCTATTTTACCATACCTCTCAACTGTAATATAATTCAACATGTGATAATATGCTATAAAATCAGGGTCAATTTTAACCTTTTTCACCTTTCTATTTATGTATTTCACTACCGAGGAGTTGACAAAATGCCCCCGATGATGTATTCCTAATTCTGATTCCAAATGCATTCTACAACAAAAACAACGTAACAATAAAGAAATATTTAAGAAAACTATGAACCCTCACACTGAAGTCAATAAAGTTTAAAATAAAGGCAAAGCTATAGATTTTTTTTTTTTTTTTTTTTTGTACACAATTTATAAGCTATAATAAACAAGCTATAGTACCAACATAAAAGAAAAAGCTATTGACAACTACTGTTGTAAAAATCGGCCTAGGCGCCCCTAGACCGTGGCGATTTCCTCCTTAGGTGGCTGTTTCGGCGACTAACACGGCCGACTCGGGCGAGTTGACGGTGAACTCGGTGGAGTTAACTCGTCCAATTCGATCGACTCGGCATTGCCAATTATTATTCATAATATATATATATATATATATATATATATATATATATATACATATATATATATATATATATATACATATATATATATATATATATATATATATATATATATATGACATACACCTACACATATGCACTTTTTTTGGTTAAATTATACTTACAACTATGTATAACAATTTTAAATGCATTTGATGACCACAATAATTCAAAATGTCTCCATTATTGACTACAAGGTGAGGACCCATATTAGACAGCCATCCAACATTGATACAAGGTGGAATTTGGGGTTTTGTACAGATTAGAGTTTTGTATTTATTAGTTTAGTTATTTTGTTTTGGTTTTACCTAAAATAAAAATTTATTTGTTTGTTGGCATACACGTAGGCTTTTTTAGTTTTTTATTCTTTTTTTTTTTTTAAATTCACGGGGTTATTTATGATAGCTTTGACCGGAAAATTACAGACAAATGAATTGAATTGCACTAATTAGACAAGTTGAGGGGTTTAATTGGATTTTTTTTTTTTTTTTTTTTTATAGATTGAGGGTCTAATTTCTATTTTGAGTATACTTTGAAGATTTATTTAACCCTTGTCCCAAAAAAAAAAAAAAAAAAAAAAAAAAAAAGCTCTTCCATCCATTATAATAGACCTAGCACCTTTGTATTCCAGTGATGGCTTTATAAAGTAAGAGATTAAATTGATTGATTTGATAATCGAGGATTAAAATAGATAATGTATAATAATAATTAAAAGACTAAAAGTGAACCTTTCAAAAAAAAAAAAAACTAAAAGTGAAACTAATTCTGATAAATTTCATACCATATTTGATGAAGTAATTTCTTTATAAACATTTAAATTTTAATTAATTCTTACAAGATACAATGAGAATTACAATTAGAGGACCAAGCGGCCATGGGGTTTATAAAGTCATTCTTCCAAAAGGAAGAACCCCAATCCTATGGGGCCCGACAGAGCATTTGGGAGGATGTAAATCATGGTGACTCGACTGAACATGAACCACAGAGGTTAGACCAATGCTCACTGCGCACAAGGAACCCCCCTCACTTTCAGAGGTTGCTCCTACACTGCCGCTAGTGAGACTCGATCCCTGGTCATTCTTCCAAAGTTTCACCTCCATAACCAATTGAGAATTTATAAAGTCAGTGTTTATGAGAGGAAGGGATTGCTTAGGCCAGAAAGGATCTTCTGGATAACATAATAAAAAGCATTAATAGAAAAGAATTATAAGTATTTCAAAAAAAAAGCATTAGTTTTAATTTTTTCCAAGACAAAAATATGTTTTGTTATTTTTTTTTGAATTTTTTAATATTTTATGTTAATGTTAAATTAGCTCATATATAATTTACAGATCTTATTTAATTGAGAAAAGTGTCAAATTGCACCCATAAGTTAACCGGGTAGTGCAATTGGGTCCCCTAAGTAAGAAAAAAGTTCCATAAACTCCGACGATAAAGATGGTTTTCGGCTAGAGCTGGTTCATCGACGGAGTCCCAAAAACTCCGACAACCACAACTGTAGCCACTGCCAAAAGTAGCAACAATGGTGGCTGTTTCTTTAAAAATGTGATGATGATCTATAAAGAAATAAAGTTACTCATTGGTTACTTGTTATAACTTTTGGTAAAATGATATGGTTACTTGTTATAACTTTTGGTAAAATGATAAAGTTTTTTATTTTTTTTTTTCAAGCAAGTGATATCAGAGTTAGGTCACGGCTGACATTATACATTTTCTTAAGACTCATATTAGTTTATCATCTTCTTTAATTTTTTTTTTTTATGGAGAGCTATTGACTCTATTACATTGTAGTATCCGCCCACACATGCAAGCACGTACAAAGAGTCAATGCTCCAACTAGGATTCGAACATGTAACCTCCCATTTGAGATAGCACAGAGGTGTCATTGAGCTACAAACTACTTAGCGTGATAAGGATAAGGGTAGATGTGGACAAAAGATTATATATATATATATATATATATATATATATATATATATATATATATATATATATATTATATCACTGTTGTAAAAATCGGCCTAGGTGCTAGGCGCCCCTAGGCCGTTCCGCTTTCACGCTTTCACTATTAGGCACGCAAAAATCGACCGGGCACCTAGGCAGCCAACTCGGCTGAGTCGGTCGATTTTGTCCGATTTTGACCGATGTCGTCTAGTCCAGCCGTTTGTATACTAGTTTGATACTTTGAATCTTTGGATGGTTGAAGTATTTGAGTATTTTTATTTTTAGTATTTTTTTTGATGTTATGACTTATTAATTATCATTATTTCATTTATTTGGATGTGTTATTTGATTGAATGTTGAAAATAATCTTATTAAAATTGTCAAACTGCAAGTCTGCCACTAGTTTTTTAGCGTCCGCCTAGCGCCGCTAGGCACTGCCCAAACACCCGACTAGCGCCTAGCGCCTACTGCAACAATAATATATATATATTACTCGTACATCAAGCATTTATTACAGCAACACACTGGTGAACCCCTAGAGAGGAACGGGTAATATTATTGGGGAGTTGAAACTTGAAAGTAGGTGGCCTGGTACGTACGTGCTTATTCGGCAATCATTATTGTGTGGACCATAGTCCACACAAGTTGTGTGGACCATATTTTGTCTACTGTAAAATAATGTATATTTAGTACAAAAATAATATACATTCAGTATAAAAATAATGTACATTGTATTCAGGGGATGTACATTATTTTTGTTATGAGTGTACATTATATTGTATAATGTACATTCAGTACACAAATAATGTACATTTAATATATTGAAAATGTACTTTTTATTATGGTCCACATAATATTGTGTGGACAATGGTCCACACAATAATTTGCCCTTATTTGGTAGGTGATTTGAGGAGGAAGTTTTGGAACCAATAAGCAGATTTCTTGTGGTATCTTTTGAGATTATTGTAGTCCACGTACGTGATGCCAAACCGAACAGTGTGCCCAGCATCCCACTCGTAAGAATCAAGGAATGACCACACGAAATGCCCCTTCACATTTGCTCCCTCCCTGCACCAACCATTTTTAATCAATTAATTTCTTCATCTACCGAGTATTTTCTCCGTCTCATTTTATGTACTGGGTTCAGCTAACGAGACTTGACTAAAGTTATTTACAATTTAATTTTTTCATAATATTAAGTTTAGAATTAGTATGTAAATTTTATATATTTAGAAACTATATTAAAAAATACTATTAACACATAAAAAAAATTAAATTTTTAAAAATTATAAAAAAATGCTAATGAAAATAAGCAAAGAAAAAAATAGTTGACTTAATCCATAAATAGTAAGTAGGATATATAAAATGAGGCAGAGCAAGTGTTTTTTTTTTTTTAAATTTTTATGGAGCCAGCTAGGTCAATTCAAACAACTTACTTGATAGCTTTTTGTAGGAACCATAGGTGACCCTCGTAGTATTTTATCCTTATAGTGTCTTTCAGGGCTTCCTCCACCGACAATGTGCTGTTATTTGCCTCAGCCACACCTGCACACAACGATTAAAAGATATGTTCCGTCACAATTAAAAATTTAAATAAGTGAATTGAACATCGTTGATATTAAAAATGTCAATTTTTTTTTTTTAAATATGGTGTTGAGAGTTGGATATTAACTTTACCATTTTCAGTGATATAAACGGGTGGGTTCTTGTATTTATTCTTGATGTAGAGCATAAGCATTCTGATTCCTTTGGGATAAATGAATAGCCAGTTCAATGGGGTCTGCATACACACACAGAATGAGTTAATTTAGCATATATATGTATATATATATATATATATATATATATATATATATATATATATATATATATATATATATATATTGAAGTGTGTTAATGACTATATATTATGGAGAGATGGAGATTACGTACAGGTGTGCCGAGTGGTACGCCATCCTTGTCAGCTGAATCATAACGAAGAGACAAGACAAAAAGGGATTAATTATTAAAATAAAGAAAATATTACATGTATTCTCATTTTCTGTTCTCAACTTTTACTTTCAAATATAAAATCTTTATGTAAAATCTTGATGTATATATTTGTATTGAGATCTACATAAAAGAGTAGTTTATCCGTGCCCGTCACATCATAGTAAAATTTATGGAGTAAGATTTGGTAATTATGTATTAAAACTCTAAAACAAGTAATGTTAGCTACAACAATGTACCAATATTCCAATACAACGGGATATATGTTTTTATTTAGAGTAAATTCCTCTTTTTTGTCTTAATTTTATTAGGGATTGGACATTTTTAGTATATTATACAAAATTTTGCTACATTTTGCCCACTCTTATTTTTGACAGCGCCACTTTTAGTCTTTTGTCTGATTTTCGGTCTGTTGACCGTAAAAAAGAAGGGCATTTCTGTCATTTTATGTTGTGGGGTAAAATGTGACAAAGTTTTTTATGGTAGAATAAAAATGTCCAGATTATAACTATAAAAAGGAATTAACTCTTTTATTTAATAAACATTAAAACATCGTTTTCTACTACATACATATATTCGCAATTTTTACTCTCTCAATTTTACTCTTTGATATTGCAGACACTGATAAGCTATTTTTTCATGTGAATCGCATTAAAAGTGTCTACATAAAGATTTTTGAGCATTGGAGTAAAAGTTTGGAGTATAAGGAGTATTTTCCTAAAATGAGGTTGGTTAATTTGTCGCTAATTAATTGTAGTTGTTTAATTATATATAATAATGTGTAGTAATAATTGTACTTACGAGTGAGAGCGAGATGATTGTCTGTTGTGTAGCTGAGATTAACTGCGTTGAATGACAACGTAGGAGCTGCGTAATATGTAGTGTAATAGTTTATCCCTAAGAAATCGATCGAGCCTTTCACCAGCTTTATTTCTTCTGGGGTAAACTTTGGAAGCCGTCGCCCCACCAAAGCTCTCATGCTTGCCGGGTACTCACCATACGTGATGGGATCCAAAAACCTAATTTAATACACATTCATCAAAAAGAACGTCAAAAACAAATTATATTATAAAGAGTTAATGCGTACTTCGAATATAATGATTTTGTATCACGGCCGTGTTAAGACAGGATCTACAAATCTTGAATAATATATCTCTTTTGGATGAGACAACTAGCCTGTAGATTTAATGATGCTCTATACCGGTTCAAGTTAACTACTAATTGTTTTTCAACTTTCAAAATTTAACCAGCCGTGGTCCTCCTAAAAAGACAGCATCTACAAATCGTCAAATCTTGAACAATATATATCTTTTGAGTGAGACAGCTAGCCTGAGGATTTAAGGTTGCTCTATACCCAAACTCAAGGATCTACAAATCTTGAATAATATATCTCTTTTGGGTGAGACAGCTAGCTTGAGGATTTAAGGTTCTCTATACCCAAACCCAAGGATCTACAAATCTTGAATAATTTATTTCTTTTGGGTGAGACAGCTAGCTTGAGGATTTAAGGCTCTCTATACCCAAACCTAAGGATCTACAAATCTTGAATAATATATCTCTTTTGAGTGAGACAACTAGTTTGGAGATTTAGGACTGCTCTATACCCGTCCAAGTTAAGTACCCATTGTTTTTCAACTTTCAAAATTTAACCAGACGTGGTGTTCCTAAAAAGACAAGATCTATAAATCTTGAATAATATATCACTTTTGAATGAGACAGTTAGCTGAGGATTTAAGCACTACAAGAAAAATGCACATAGACAACACTAGAAAGACAACAGTTTTTAAGAAAAGTGTTGTCTTTTGTATAAAAGACAACAGTTTGGTCCAAAACCGTTGTCTTTGATGCAACACTTTTGTCAAAGACAACGATTTTTGCTTAACCGTTGTTATAAGTGTGTTGTCTTTGTGCATTTTGTGAAAAGACAACACCACAACGACAACGGTTTTTTAAAACCGTTGTCTATGTGCGTTTTTTTTTTAATAAGACAATGGTTTTTTTAACTGTTGTCGTTGGAGTGTTGTCTTTAAGCGCACTGGAATACACAACACTAAAAAGACAACAGTTGTTTAAAACCGTTGTCTTTGTGCGCTCTTTTTTAAAAAAGAGACAACGGTTTTATTTAATCGTTGTCGTTGGTGTGTTGTCGTTAAGCACACTCGAATACACAACACTAAAACGACAACGGTTTTATATAACCGTTGTCGTTGCGCGTTCTTTATTTGTTTAAGACAACGGTTTTATTTAACCGTTTTCTTTGGTATGTTGTCTTTAAGTGTATTTGAATACACAACACTACAAAGACAACGGTTTTTTAAAACCGTTGTCTTTGCGCATCATTATTTAACAGGTATATAAAATAAAAACAAAAATGTTAACAACAAGAGTCAAACCTATGACCTCAAACTTAACAAATAAGCAATCTAACCAATTAAGCAACACAAACTCTTATTTCTAAAGGTGCAACATCTGGTATATAACTGGGTTGCTTCTGTGTTGTTTGTGAAAACCAAGACACCAATTTTAGAAAATAGTTGAAGAATTCCCCACAAGAAGTATAGAACCTGAGACCTTTAACATAATAAACTAAGCTAAACCCACTAAGCCACACCAACATTTATGTACTCAAGCACAACATCTAGTATATTACCGATTTGCTTATGTGTTGTCTTTGAGAACCAAGACAATGATTGTATAAAATAGGTTAAGAATGCCACCACGAAGGATAAAACCCAAAACCTTTAACATAATAAACAAAGCTAAATCCACCAAGCCACACCAACTCCTGTGTACTAAAGTGTTACACCTTATCTTTTACCTATAATTTAACAAAGAAAGAATACAATTCAAAAGTTAATTTAATAGTTCTATTTTTGTTCATATTTAAATATAAAATTGTTCACCAAAATTTCAAAGTAAATTCATTAAAGTTTTATTTTCAATTATATTACAATTAAGACCAATCTATGAATTCAAAAAATAATAATAACTATCAAGTATAAAAAAAACAATATGGGGTGGTGTTCATAATGGTGCGGTATGATGTGTAGGGGTTAAGGGCGGTATGATAGGGGCCGGGGTTGGTAATCGACTCTTCTGGCTAGCGCATGACTAACAAAGTTAGCTATCTGTTGATAATCGACCATTCCGGCTAGCGCATGACTAACAAGGTTAGCTATATGTTGGTAATTGACCCTTCCGGCTAGCGCATGACTAACAAAGTTAGCTATATGTTGGTAATCGACTCTTCCGGCATGCCTAGGACACGTTGAGAATGGATATGAAAGAGTAGTTGATCGATGCCGTGATCTTAATTAGCTCTATGTTCATAATTACCAAACTATATATTCATAATTTTTGAATTGAGATGCATATTCATAATGATTGAATAACTATGATCTATATTCACAATTACAGAACTTTATGTTTATAATTTGCGATGTTCATATTCCCAAGTGTTGATAACTATACAGTTTAGAAATTATGAATCAACAATACAGAAATTATGAATATGCAGTATAGAAATTATGAATCTACTGCATAAAAATTATAAATCTACTTTATTTAAATTATGAATCTACTGTATTTAAATTATGAATCTACGATTTAGAAATTATGAATCTACGATTTAGAAATTATGAATCTAGAGTAAAGATTTTATGAATCTACAGTATAGAAATCTATGAATCTCGCGTTCTGTACCTATATACCCAGTACTATTTTAATTGGGTCTAGTGACCCGGATAATAAAACTAATATTTTCTTACCCTGTTCTATATCTATATCGCCCGGTTTAATTGGGTCTAGCGCTCCGGGTGCCGCAAAAAATTTATTATTATTTATTAGAGAGCGCGAAAAATCTAACCCAAAATTTAGCCCTACCCGCCCAAACTTAGAAAATTTTCATTTCGCTCAATTTCATTCCTCATCAGGAGAGTTCTACTCCAATATTCAAAAATTTCATTTCGCCCATCAGGAGAGTTCTTCGCCGCCCTCCCTCTGCCGACAACGACAACCAACGCCTCAGCCTCAGCCACACTCGCTGCCGCCCTTCCTCTCGCCCTCTCATTTCCGAGACCTCCTGTCGCTGCTCTTCCTTCGCCGACGACGACGGCCGACAGCCACAGCCTAAGCCTCAGTCACACTCGCCGCCGCCGCTCTTCCTTCTACAGCTCTCTGTTAAGTGCACATGCCTCATTGTAAGTCTAATGTTGCTTGTCTTTCTGTTTTTTTTTTTTTTTTTTTTTCATTCCAGTCTAATCTTCCTTCTATACAGCTCTGTTATATGCATGCTATTTAGGTTTCACTCTTTGTGGTTAAAGAAAAGGTCTCAATTTCTTTAAAAGATTTGTTTGTGAGCAATGAGTCTTTCATTATCTGAACTAATCACTATTTCTCAGCGTTATGGGGGGTAATGGCTCAGTTAGAAAGTCCGAATCACTTTAATTACTGTTGCTAATGTAGAGACATCGGAAATTTGGAGAGGAATAACTGAAGTGTAATTTGCAATTTGGCAAGTACAAGGGAGTTCATAACTGACCATTTCTGTTGGGAGCTTTAGGTCAAAATGACTAGGAAAGAAGTCTTTGTCCAAGTTAAATTTGAGCATAGAAGTAGGGGACATGTGAAAAGCATCTTGGGGACTGTATAGGGAGGGAACTGAAATAGTTTAGATGGCTATGTGAATCTTTTATGTGATGGTGTTATCACTTCTAAAGATTCCTAATCCAAATTTCATATCATTTCTGAACTGAATGTAATGCCTCTCTGATTTCAAGCAATTACTGCTTCAGAATCTGAATTGTAACCATGGTCAATCTGTGACTTTTAGGTTGAAAAAAATCAAGTATATGGCTTTGACCTGGTATACTAAGTTTTTTGAGTAGCACATCATTCTTAGAATCTCAGTAAATGATGGCTTTCATCTGCATTATATCTGCTGTGTATCTCTTATATCTTTGCCTTTTTTAAAAAATGAAATTAAGACATCCTGACATCCTGTTCTCTCTAATTCAGGCTGCTAGTCCATTGCAAGTGAAATATGCTGATGGTGAGTTGGAAAGACTAGGTGTGATAGAGTTTGAATTTGTGGTGTAACACATGTTTTCTTCTTGTGATGGTTCCTCTCAACTGTAAACTTTTGAAAAGTTCTTTTTTCATCCGGGTTATGGAATCTCCTCTCTCTCTCTTTTTTTTTTTTTTTTTTTTTTTTTTTTTTTTTTTTTGTAAAGTTAATCTGTCTATAGTAATTGTATTGTGTCTGCAATGCAGTAACTTTCTTCTTTCCGATTTTATGTTCCTTTTTTTTCCTTTATTTAACCCCATCCTCCTCTCCTGGGGAAAAATGCAGAACACAAGATTTTTGTCGGGATGCTACCAAAGAATGTATCAGATGCCGAAGTGTCTGGCTTATTCTCTCAATATGGAACCGTTAAAGACTTGCAAATTTTAAGAGGTTCTCAGCAAACTAGTAAAGGTAAGCCAAGTTCACCTCTGTGGGTCTGTTCCTTTTCTTAATTTCAACTACCAGTTGATAATGAAATTTATTGACATTTCCTTATTTTCCTTCATAATTTCTTGGTTGCTGCAGGATGTGCATTTTCGAAATATGAGACAAGAGAACAAGCAGTTGCAGCTATAGAGGCCATTAATGGAAAGCACAAGATGGAGGTTGTTTGTTGTTTACCAATTCCTTTGACTTATAATGTGATGTCTTGAAATATTATTACCTGAACTACTTTGATTTTATTATTTATTTGGTGGAGGGCTAAAGAAATATTTTACCAATTCCTTTGACTTATAATGTGATGTCTTGAAAAAATTTTACAACGTCGGTTTTCATATAGCCGACGTTGTATGTTTACCATACAACGTCGCCTACTTCAACGTCGCTTTTTAGCCGACGTTAAAGGTCATCTATGTAGTAGTGATTGAGTTTGCTTTGATTTGCTTTTTAATTTTGCATTTGGATAAAATCTGGGCTAGTCTCATATTGCTTTAATCTGCTTTAATCTGAAAATATAAACAGAAAGGAGATGATGTTGCTTTTTGTTTCTAGCTGGCTTGTAGTGAGATTATAGTGAACTATGTAGCACATACATAGACATATACTTAGCTTCTCTGCTAAGCTAGTAGATGGTCGGCTTAAACCTGCCAGAAGCTAGACCAGTATTAGACTTAATATTGGTATAAAGAGAGAATTTGAAGTTGGATCTTCTTAATCCAAATGGTCAAAATTCTAAAAGAGGGAAGGTGGAAATTAATTTAATTCATAGCCAACAGAAAGAATCTAATGAATTAATAATTGACTGAAACCTGAAGACTTACTAAAACAATAAACATTGATAATTTCATTGTATACATGCATATTAGGCCGGTAGTATATTGTTTTAGCTTTAGTTATACCAACCATTAATTAGTACTATGTATTACCTCAAACTTGTGAATTTAATCCATTATATATTAGCGGTGTTATAATTACTTTTTAAAAAAAATTATCGAGATTAATTATAAGTTGGGTTTGTTGGTTGAAATCTAGTTGAAATAAAGAATTTATAATGAAGTGCTAATTAATATAATAATATAATTTTGCATGCAGATAATGTATATATGCAGTTCCATGATGAATGTTGGGGAGTTCCAGTCTATGATGATAAGTAAGCAGCATATATATACAATCTCTTTCAACTTCATTGTATATCTTAGTAATCTTAGGTCTTAGTGGATTTATTTATGTGTAGTTTGAGAATTATTACAAAGTAGCAGATTTAATCCGTAATTGGTAAGAAATGTTTTGTGAACGTACAGTCAATTGTTTGAGCTACTTGCACAGTGTGGCATGTTGATGGATTTCAACTGGACTCAAATTTTGAAAAGGAGAGAACTACTCAGGTACTTAACATTTAAGGAGACAAAACACTACTTGTTTCATTGTACGTACGACTACTCTTTTGTTGTGTGAAAATATAATCATTATATTTTACTTTGGACTTTGTCATATATATCAACAATATAGAGAAACTTTTGGTGGGTTTAATGTAAAGAATGTGGCCAAAATGGGGGAGAAAGAGATTCAAGAAATTGCATCCAAAAAACCATTGATGTTAAAAGTGAGCAGAGTAAGGTGCATTGTGCAGAATGCCAAATGCACAATGAAGGCATGTTTCAGCTCCATCTATCCTTCTTTACCTTTTACTTATTATTATCTTTTAAAATTTATTCTAGAATTTGGAGGTCTCTATATCAATTTACGCTCCTTCTCTTTGTACATGCATACATATAAATAATAGAATCATTTTCTTTGTTCTGGCAGATTGGAGCTAGCAAAAGGGACATTTGCAAAAGAGTGGAACGTTATATAGAGTAGGTATGATTTGATCATTAGAACGTTGTGATCATTTAGACTTGGTTCGTGGAATTGTTTTTTGTAGTATTATGACTTGGATGATATATGATTCGATTAGAATTGGTCATGGAAGTATTTAGACTTGTTAATTAGTTCTTTTGTATTTTGAACCTTAGCTTGTGCAAAATTATGTAATTACACTTGCCATGGTGAATGGATAAATTGATTTTTTATATGATTAAAATTTAAGCAGGTTAAAAACGGTTAAAAACCGTTGAGACAACGGTTAAATACCGTTGTCTATTTTACAATAGACAACAGTTTGAAACTGTTGTTTTTTCTACAAAAGACAACAGTTTATGGACGTGACTTTTAACAACAGCGGTTTCAACAACACACAATAGACAATAGTTTATAACTGTTGTCTTTTAAAGAAAAGACAACAGTTAAAAACCATTGTCTATGTGCACCACATTTAATTACACCGGTTTCAACAACATTGAATAAACAACGGGTTAAAAACCGTTGTCTTTGAAAGAAATGACAACGGTTAAAAACCGTTGTCTATGTACGTGATTTTTAACAACACCGGTTTCAACAACACTCAATAGACAACGGTTCTTAAACCGTTGTCTTTTCTAGAAAAGACAACGGTTAAAAACCGTTGTCTATGTTCATGACTTTTAACAACACCGGTTTCAACAACACTTAATAGACAACGGTTAAAAAACCGTTGTCGTTTCTAGAAAAGACAACGGTTATTAACCGTTGTCTATGTGCGTGACATACAACAACACCGGCTTCAACAACACTTAATAGACAACGGTTAAAAAACCGTTGTTGTTTCTAGAAAAGACAACAGTTATTAACCGTTGTCTATGTGCGTGACATACAACAACAGCGGCTTCAACAACACTTAATAGACAACGGTTAAAAAACCGTTGTTGTTTCTAGAAAAGACAACGGTTATTAACCGTTGTCTATGTGCGTGACTTACAACAACACCGGCTTCAACAACACTTAATAGACAACGGTTAAAAAACCGTTGTTGTTTCTAGAAAAGACAACGGTTAAAAAACCGTTGTCTATGCACGGGACTTACAACAACACCGGCTTCAACAACAGAAATTATACCCCTACGACAACGGTTATTAACCGTTGTCTATGTGCATTTTTCTTGTAGTGAAGGCTGCTCTATACCCAAAATCAAGTATTGAACCATTGACCATTGGTTAAGAATAGATGAGTCTCTTCCACTCAATCACACCCCGTTTTGCAATAGATTGATTTAATATATATCTTACCATCCTAAATAGAAATCAAGAGCCCTAAAAGGAGCCTTGAGGCCTTCAGCTGTCTTGGTCTTAGCCACAAACCAGTGGGTCACAAGTGTCACTCCAATCTGCCCCTTTTGTGACTTCTGAACAACACCAAATAATTAAAGATTAAACAAGGAAACTAAGTTAATTCACCTGGCCTAGCTATCATATAATATATTTAATGTAATGGGTGACCTGATATTTATCTCTATAAACTTTAACAGCAGCAGCATGAGCAAGAAGCAAGTTGTGTGCTACGATATAGGGCTCTGTGGCGGAGTTTCCCTTGGTACAGTTGCCGACATAGGGAGAGCATCTTCCCGGTGCAAAGGTTCCGGTGGTGTATCCGTTCATACTAAAGGACAATGGTTCGTTTAAGGTGATCCAGAATTTCACGCGATCACCAAATAACTTGAAGCAGAGATCTGTGTAGTCTCTAAAATCGTCCCTGATAATCCATTTCCAAATGTATATATGTTCAATTTATCATAATATATCAATTAATTAACTCATTGCATTTTTAATTAATTATATTAAAGGTGATTTCTTGTGTATGTATAGGTTTAATTATAATAAACTAAACTTACACTATTTTAGGACTTAAAAATCCTTCATATTCATCCTCCAGCGCTTGGGGAGGGTCCCAGTGGAAAAGAGTGACAAATGGCTTCATACCTACATACAAACCAAAACGATGTATATAAATATACCCATCAATTTTAATTTGTCAAGTAATTGAAATTAAAATTATTCCCACTTTTGATTTCACAACCATAATGCACACATTTACTTTTTAAATATTATTTTAATTACATATGGTCCACTACTTTTTATTTTGTCACATTTAATCTTTGACCAAATATTTTTGCATATATATATATATATATATATATATATATATATATATATATATAATCAGGAAACATCAAAGAAGTAAATGTATATATTACCTTGTGCTACTATCTCATTGAAGACATTGTTGTAGAATTCAACGCCTTTTTGATTAATTCCTCCACTAATCTTCCCACCTATAAAGTGTACAAAATATAAATACACAAAAAGTAAAATTCAATAAGGGTTCTTAATTAGACTTTAGAGTGGATGTGACAATTTGTTAGAGTAATTAACCTACTCTCTACACTTAGCTTAGAGGTGGCAATTTTATTGTCAACTAACGTTAAACGTATACTAAAAGTATCATTTTTTTAATTGAGATTTATTGGTTAAAAATATAAATTTTTACAAGTTATAACATTTATGATCAAATCTTTTATTGTTTCAAAAAAAAATATTTTATAATAAATAATTTAATATCAGTATGGCAACCAAAATTTTTAAATACAATCCATAATAAATTGTTATGACAAAGAGTTGACTTATATACCTGTCCTTGTAATATTGTATACAAACTATGGGGTATATTAAAATTACTGTAACATATCGTATGCAGTAAGCATAAATAAAACTCTTTTTCCTTCAAAAAAATAATTTTTTTTTATAGATGTAATCTTATTTTAATGAAATTGTAAACCAAATTCAAGTTGGATCCAATTTTGTTTCGATAAAGGTGAAATTTTGACAAATAATGTTTACCAATTTATCCCATTTTTATATTAATTAAGTATATAACTACTTTCAAATATTTGATTATAATTATCACTAGTACGTAGTAATACAAAATTTTATATATTTTCAATAATAAGCCATCATCAATATTACCTTCCACTTGTGATTTCCGCAGACTTCTTTATATTTTACACTTGAAAATAATAATGTTTTTATTTTTGTAGAAATATATGGGAAAAAAAAAATCCACATGCATGCATATCTGAGTTGGAATAAATTAAAAGAAAAGATATCTACACACATGCACGTCAGAGTTGTACATTAAATATAAGGCCTCGGTTCAAATTTTGCATTTGCCTTCCTTCTACGTTATGCCTAAATTGATAAGATAAGTGTAAAATAAATTTTTAATTTTTAAAAAGTATAATTAAATATTTAAATTACATAAAAGTTTAAACTCGAAAAAGTTGAATTTTACCCTTCAGTCATTAAATTAATTATTAAAAAAATAAAAGGAAATTAAGCCCTTGAACCTTAAAGAGATGCAATTAAACACTTGAATTTGTCAAAATCAGTCGAATAAGTTATGTTTACTGGTAATAGCCGTTGACCATCGTTTACCACCGTCATCGAAAATAAAATCACCACCATTCAAAAAAAAAAAATCAACAATCGGTTGCCTTCTCCATCGTCGTCTTCCTCTTCAATGGCAATAGTGACTGGCGACTGTTTTCTGATTGTCGGATCCCTAATAACCGATTATTCTAAGTAGATAACCGGCTATTTGATTTAGATGCACTATATGACAAGTTCAAGTGCTTGAGTACACCTTTTAAAGTTTAGGGACTTAACTCTTATTCTGTATAAAATTTAAGGATTTATTTGACTCTTTTTCCCAAAATAAAATGACAATGTGAGTACACATTCTTACGTGGTAAAATCCGAGACCATGAGATCGACAATCTGAAAGCATCCATTCCAACTTCTTTAAGCTGACGTATATCTTCCTGTTAATATATATTATGAAAAACGTAACTATCATTATTCAAGAAAAATTAATTAAAAAAAAGAATATAATATTTTTCAATCTGGGAGATATTAATTAAAATAATAATAATAATAAAATAATAATAATAATAATAATAATAATAATAATAATTATTATTATTATTATTATTATTATTAAAATATACCTTATAACGATGGTAGAAGTCATCAGCAACATCTCCAGTGGATCTGTCCCAAATTTTTTCTGAAAAATTCTCAATTTTATAAATGTTCAGTTTAAGATTCTAGAACAAATAAATAATTTAAAGAGCTATGATATCAAATTAATTAGTCATAAAGTAATACTACATTTCTTACTAAAATCACTTCCCGATTGTCATTATTCTTTTAGATTTTTTTTATTATGTTAATTCTTTATTAATTTGTAATGGATAAAAAATATATAGGCTCTATTTGGTAACAATTTATTGCTCCAAAATGTTAAAATTTAAAAATCTACTTATTATGTTAATTCTTTATTAATTTGTAATGGATAAAAAAATATATAGGCTCTATTTGGTAACAACTTATTGCTCCAAAATATTAAAATTCAAAAATCTACTCAATGTAGCTTTTTCGATCAGCTTTTTTAGAAAGTTATTTTGTATGAAATCAGCTAACAACAAACAGTTAATTTATCAAATACTTTTCTACAATAAGTTAATGCTATCAACTAGTCAAATACACTAACCCAATCAACTAACAGTTATCAGCTAACAACCATTTACCAAACACCCTGTAATGTTTTTAAAACATTCAGAATTGATTTCAATAAGAGAGTAATTTTTTTCATAGGCATAATCACAATACCTTAATTTTGTTAACATAGAAAATAGTATACATATATTATATTATTCTAACGGTGTATCCTTAAGGACCTTAACAAGTGGATCGGATCAAGAATGCTGATATGCTGTCCCCAAGACCCCAACTCCCCATAACTCTAAAAGTCAAACTGTACTCTTCTTGTACAATTAATAATAATAATAATAATAATAATAATAATAATAATAATAATAATAATAATAACTTGTACCTTTGGTCATGTGGAATGACTAATGGAAAATGATACAAGGATTTTTATGGAGTAAATTTCTTGTCACATATCGTGATTTAATTGATAGAAGAGAAATAGAGTAATAAGAGTTATAGGCCATTTTTTTTTTTTTTTCGAATGAATTAGAACACGACATGTAAGCGTGACAAATTTTACTATGGACCATGGTCTATGCATGTAGCATCATGAACCATAGTATGAGCTCTGTTTTAGTTTCATTTTCTACTGATCTGACACTTGTTTCATTATAGTAATGTTGAAGTATCATTTTAATTATACTTCATGCATATGCTATCTAGTACGGTTTCACTTTATTCACAGAATAGGTTCATTATAAAAACAATAACGTATCATTTTAATTCTAAAACTCGTTCATTTGACAATATACATATATATTTGTATGAGCTCTGTTATTCAGTTTCATTTTATACATACAATAGGTTCATTAAAACAATAATAAAATATACATATTTAATTTGTATGTGCTCTCCTATTTAGTTTCATTTCAATTATATAGGTTCATTATAGCAAATATATACATACATACATACATACATATATATATATATATATATATATATATATATATATATATATATATTTGTGGTGTATCACCATGGTCCACCACATAACAATTGCTCAAGCAGGGAGTAAAAAATAGAGTAAAATTTGAGAACATGCATGTGTACTATATTACTAATGACTTAATTAACATTGTTGGTAAACTTTGAATCTTTAATCGTACCCGGAAACACTAATTAAAAAATTCAAAAATTTAAAAAGAAAAAAGAAAAAAGAAAAAAGAAAAAACGTAAAACTGTGAAAGAGGGTTTTTTTTTTTTTTTTTTTTTTTTTTAAATAAATAATTGCTCTGTTCCAGTTTATATATCCTATTTATAATGTATTGATCAAATTAGTTTTTTTTTTTTTTGTTTTACTTATTTCTTTAATAAATTCTTATAATTTTTAAATTTCAGATTTTGTATTTAATAAAATTTTAATATAATTTATATATATGTTTAGTAACTAATATTAAATTATAAATTATTTTTTCAATATTAAATTAAAATTTATAAAAAAAAATTATTAATAACTTGAATCAAGTTAATTTCTTACTTAAATACATCTTATAATTTATGGCGGAGAATAATCTATCTGTATGCTTGTTTAGTATAAAACTATCTTATCAGCCATGTCAAACTCTAAAAGTGATGGACATTACACTAGATATAAATAACATATCTACCACATTAAGTTTATTAGTTGAAAATAAATAACATATCTACCACATTGTACATACTAGCCATTTAGTTTGTTAGTTGAAAAAAACTTTACATTTGCTTAAAAAAAAAAAAAAAAAAAAAAAAAAAAAAAACTTTGCATTTGTAAATGTTCCCAGTTTTTTTTTTTTTTTTTGTTTTTTTACAAGTTACGGTATACGGCAAAATAGTAAGAAAAAGACCAACAAAAACTAAAAATTAAAGTTATTATCTTCTCTAACTTAATGCTCCGTATATTATAATATGACTATTTACATTAAATAAATTAATTTCTTTACATACACAATACATTTTTTAATTGTACATACCAAACTCTAAAAATTAATATTGCTATATTTTCTACTCAAAGTGAAAAAATATATATGTTATATTTAAATAATTGAACATATAGAAGACACGCTAGCTAGGTTTTCGTCTTGATGAGTTTTTGAAATGCAAGTTGAAGTAGTTGCATTAAACATAGCTCCAATTTAGGTGGGTAGTCCCTTTATGATATTTCCCGAAATGATTTTTATAAGAGTACGTGGCACTGAGATTCGTCTTCAAAATGTGATTTTTGTCCCCTTCGAGTATGACATTGGGGTCTTTAATTAATTAATAAATTAATAGTTATAATAATTTAATTAGTACCAATTTAGTTTTATCAATAACAATATTATCCACCCCATCAACATTTCAGAACTGAAGTTGACCACTGGTATTTTATTAAGGAAAATGTTCGTTCAACTTTTATGGAATAAAGCTTTAATTACGTGTTCCGATTTTATTAGGGAGTGAAAATATAAGAAGTAAAAATTGCAATTCGCGTTTTTTTTTTGGGTCAATTTAAATACGCAACATTAACATACTAGTAGTAAAAAAAAAAAAAAAAAAAAAAGTGTTCGAAGGCAATCTCACTCAAGTTGATTAGATACTCATACTGTTGACTTAATAATTACTAGGCTGGTCATTTGCAGGTTAAAGTCACAATGTGAAATTTATCTCGTGCACACTAGCTATCAAATAGTGGCTAAATAAAAAATTAAAAAAATAAAAAAAAAGAGGAGAGTTTGAAGGCAATTTTACTCAAGTTGACTAGTACTCATGTTGTTGACTTAGTAACTACAAAGCTTATCATTTGCAGACTAAAGTCACTATGTGAGATTCATCGCGTACACATCATCAAATAGTGGCCATATAAAAAATAAAAAAAAAAAGAGTTCTAGTATATATATATATATATATATATATATATATATATATATATATATATATATATATATATATATAGAGAGAGAGAGAGAAAGAGAGTCAGGTTCCTGTGAGAACAGGTCTTCCGGTGCGGTTGGTGCGGCATATACCATTAGGTATGCTAAATGTACCACACAGTATTCGAAAATACACCATTATATGTGGTGTATATATATATATATATATATAGAGAGAGAGAGAGTCAGGTTCCTGTGAGAACAGATCTTCCGGTGCGGTTGGTGCGGCATATACCATTAGGTATGCTAAATGTACCACACAGTATTCGAAAATACACCATTATATGTGGTGTATTTTGTTGTGTGTGGTGCATTTTTTGACATTTCATTCTGGTGTATTCTCGAATACTGTAGGGTGGATTTATGCATACCTAATGGTGTATGCCGCACTGATCGCACGGGAAGACTTGTTCTCACAGGAACAATATATATATATATATATATATATATATATATATATATATATATATATATATATATATATATATATATATATATATACTCTTTTACTAATGACAACCGACATGGGCGACTTTACCACAACTAGAAGGAAGTTAATTAGTTTTACGGTGTCTTATGATATTTTGTCTTATCTGTATAAATATAATATAGTAAGTAACATCTCTCCCCCAACCTAAATACAATAATGTCTTATAGAAACAGTATGGTAGTTTTGCTCTAATTTTATATAAAAATGATGTTGGAATGTAGAAAGTTGAGAGAAATTAAAGGAAGATGGACCTGGGTGTTGGTGAGTGTATGTATCCCAGATACTGGGTCCCTTGCCATCTTCAAGAGCTCCTCCTTCAATCTGAACACTCAAATCATAGTCAGAGAGATCAAACAAACCAATTCAAGCTTTAAGTAAATAAATTTTTACCATTATGTTTATGTGAAGCTTTAATTTACTATTTCCATCTATTCTACTACACTTTAATAACAACATATATTAGCCAAAAAAAAAAACCTGCATAACATCCTATATTTGTAGTAGTCATGAGAAATGGAACATGCATTTATGGAGGCCAAAGCCACCCCAATATCCTTGCCCCAAAGTTGAATCTCCAACCCCAAGGACCCTCCACACCGCAACTCGACAGAGCATTTGGGAGTATGTAAATCACAGTAATTTAGTGGCGGACACAAGGAATCTGTCCACTTTGGGTATAATCCTCACACTGCTGTCTAGTTTTGAACCTTAGTCTTTTCCCTCAAATATTGTATACTGAACCTGTGAGTTAAACTCATACGTACAGGCAAAACTAACCCATTATCCTTCACCCAAAGGTCGAATTCCTAACCCCAAGGGCCCTCCACCTACACCGCAACTCGACAGAGCATTTGAGAGTATGTAAATCACAGTAACTCAGTGGCTCAGCAGAGTTAGTAAGCCAGCAAGGATAGAGCAAGTAGTAGAAGTCTTGAGTCCGATAGGGTCAAATGTCGGTGTGCACAAGGGATCTGCCCACTTTGGGTATAATCCCCACACTACTATCGAGTTTTGAACATTGGTCTTTTCCCTCTACTGAACCAGTGAGTTAAACCCGTACTTACGGGCAAAACCACCCCATCCTACATGTGTGTATGTATGTTTGTGTAAATGCAGACCTGGTAGGCTGCAGATGAAGCTCCAAAAACAAAATCAGATGGGTAAACAGTCCTGTTAAATGGAGCTGCATAGTGACGGCTAGGCACAGCCGCAGCCAAAGGAGGAAGAAGAAGAGGAAGAAGAAGAAGAGCATAAAGCTGGAATAGGGCAAAGGGCATTGTGGTAGCCATTGCTACTTTTAGACTGATGAAAAATTGAAACCAACATCGCTACTATTTATAGCGCTCAACTCCAACTAGAGACTTGAAAATATATCGTTTTGTCTAGCCATGTGCAGACAAATTTTATCACCTACCAATCAACTCTTAAACGAAGCATGCAAGAAACTATCTATTACATTATCGTGCATAAAAATATTATATATATTTTAGGGAAAATGGCATTTTTTCCCCCCTGTGTTATATGCTTATAGCACTTTTTTCCCCTAAGTTATTCATGCATCCACATTTGCCCCCTCAATTATTATAAAAGTGGCAGTTTTTCCCCTGATAATATTAAATGGACATTTCTACCCTTAAAATAAATATTTTATTTATTTATCTTCTTCAACAAATTATTGCTTATACCTAGGGATGATCACGGTTCGATTCGAACTGAACCGAACACTATAGCAATCAAATAAAAAATTTTTGGTTATAATTCACAACTACTAGTAATAGCTTAAAATTAGAATTATAATATTTGCAAATAGTGTATGTTTTTTTTTTCAATTTATATTGACTTTCACATATAAGTATATATAATCGCGATTTGGTTTTTATTTTGAATCGTCGGTTCACGATTTCTGATCCAATTTGAACTGTTGGTTCAAACTTTATTTTAAAATTTTATTTTTTATTTTTAAAGTATTCGAAAAATTCAAAAATTAATGTATTTTATTTTTTCAAATCGTGGTTATAATTTGTTGGAAAAGAAAAATAAATGAAATATTTATTTTAAAGGTAAATATGTCCATTTAATATATCAGGGGGAAAAACTGCCACTTAAATAATTTAGGGGAGAAAAGTGCTATAAGTATATAACACAGGGGGAAAAAGTGTCATTTTCCCTATATTTTATAAAAATAACGAGTAACAGGTATTCAATTATTTACACACTTGAGAAAAATTATAATGTATTGTCGAGTGAATGCCGACACTTTTTTTGTTTTTTTTTTTTCTTTTCAGAAATACGATACTTTTATGTGTATGGTATTATAATATTTGTCTGTATTTATGAGGTCGTAAAGGAAATTTAATTCGAAATAATTTTCAAAATTTTAGTCATCACAAAATTAATTAGACACAATTTCCTTAGGATCGATGTCAATTTCGCATGGTACAATGGATTACTACAACCGTATGCTAAACTTGAACAAAAGGTGACACTTGGTATTAAAAAATAGAATTTTCAGGTGTATCAAAAGCTTAAGCGCACCAGGGTGCACACAAGTTTATTATGCTTTCTGAGTTCATTTTGAGAATTTAATTGCACCCTATTATCCAATGTGCGCAAGGGAAAGCCTTAATGTTATACAATTAAAATTACTTAGATGAGAACAAAGTCCTCATGTAAAAAGTGAGGATTTTTAAGTTTATAATATTTATAAAACTAACATCGCGCTCATTTAACCCTTATTAAATTTTTCAGCAACCCCCAAATGTTGACATATCCAAATGGATGCATCAAATCAGTCTTCACTTTTTACATGAAAGCATGTTCACACACACATACAAAATCATATACAACGACCTTTTTTAAACAAAACGGATGCTGTTTCTTAAAAAACATGTGTCGAGTTTCCACGACCCATTTTGGAAGAAAGGGTCGCGGAAACTCAATAAATATATAAAAACCCTCCTCTCATCGGTTCTTCTTCTTCTTCTTCTTAACTCATTGCACCACCATGAACGTGTATGGATTCTTCAACCACCATTGTTCTTTTATTCAACACTCTGAACGCCTTGCTGGTAGTCGAATATCCAAGAAAAATTCCTTCATCTGCATGCTCATCAAAAGATTTAGATGCAATTTTTTGCTAATATGAATAAAGCACTTGCATCCAAAAATATGAAAATAACCAATATTTGGTTTTCTCCCTCTGTATAACTCATATGGCGTCTTCTTGTACTGCTTGTGGATCATGCTTCGATTTTGTGTGTAGCAAGCAGTGTTGATAGCTTCCGCCCGATATCGCTTAGGGAGATCGGCTGCACTGATCATTACTAGTGCGGCTTCTTTGAGCATCCTGTTTCTTCTTTCGACAACACCGTTTTGTTGTGGTGTTCTTGCGGCAGATAGTTGATGAGAAATTCCTTGTGAATTACAAAATGATTGTATCACACCATTCACAAACTCGGTTCCGCGATCCGTTCGTATTTTTTATATTTGCAATTCTTTCTCATTTTAGAGTTGCTTCAACAACTTCGGTAAGACTTTCTCAACTTCATTCTTCTTCTTGAGAAACAAGGTCCAAGTGTACCTGGAAAAGTCATCAACAACAACGAGTGTATATTTCTTACCACTATCCCTTATTGGATCAACAAATTGAATTTCAAGCCTTCTACGAATGAAACATTTTCAATCTTTGATCCATTTTTCTTGATCGTGCCAACTCCGTTGGTAATTCCATGATTTTGATTTCCTCTAAAGATAACTTTTGGTCCATCGATTTTCTTGAAATTTACTAGATAAGATTTATTTCTAGTCATGTGGCGTGAGCAGCCACTATCGATGTACCAAACATCCTGCAAAAAAGATTAATTAACTTTAGGTACCCATACTTGCTTGGGTCATTTACTGTTAGTAATTTTTGGTAGCCAAACCCACCTAGATCCTATTGAACCAAGATAAGGTGGTTTGTATCCATTTGAGACACGGTAATCATAACTGACTTTTGAAAATATTTTTTGTGCCGAGTTTTGAAAATCATTTTTATATTTTGGCACATGGGAAGAGGATTGTTGCTTTAATCTATGAAACGCATTAAACCTGGGCTTGTACCATGGCTTATAATCACACAACCAATCCTGTTGAGTGGGATATAATCTCCCAGCTCTATTTCTAGAAAAGCTTCCCTTTTTTCTATGAAATCTTTTTGCACTTGACTCTTTGACATATCTATTTTGCTTATTGAGTTTTTATTGCTTAGCCGTGATATTATATTGTTTCGGCCTTTCAACATTCAATTTCACTTTTTCATGATAGCCAAGTCCTCGTTTCATCGTGCTATCCTGACTTTTCACAAATTTTACTACTTGCACTTTAATATTTAAAGTAGTAGGAAAATTAGTCAGTTTTGGAGGGGTTTGAGAACATGTGGAGTCATAACCAAGTCCAGTCTTATCTCCCGATGGCTTTTGCATGCGTACCATTTTATCCATTATTTTGGATGAATTTGTAAACGTAGTAATGGTAGCCCGAAGGTTATGTTCTCTAACCTCTCTTGCTTTACACTCTTCTTGAAGGCGAATATTTTCACTCTTCAAGTTGCTCAGTTCAAGTAAAGCATTTAACAATTTTGTGTTCATCTCTTCGTTTTCAAGAATTAGAACATTATTGCACTCATTGAGTTGAAAATGAGTGAGTAGAATCTCTTGACAATCTCGCATTAGACTGCTAATAGATTCATGAGAAAAAGAAGAACTAACGGAATTGAAAGAATTAGATGTTACCTCTTTTTCCTCTGCCCCAAGTGCCGTAAAACAATCTTCATTTGAACTCAACTCAATTGATTTGCATACTAGAGCCGTATCATCTTCCGAACTTGAGCTTTCATCGCTTGATGATGATTCATTCGATTCATCACCTTCATTTGGTTCGTTGCTAACGAGAGCTTTTCTTTTGTCACGCTTGAACCTTCGATCTTTGCTTTCGAATTTTTTTGGTGTAGATTCAACATTCTTGCCTTGATACTTGCTAACGATCGGATACAGACAATTTATTTTAAAGTGTCCGGGTTTGCGGCAGTTGTAGCATAGATCATTTATTTCTTCCATCTTCTCTTCATATGTCGTGCGAGGAACGGATTTTTGATTTCTTCTCGGAGCATTTTTGTTTTCTCTCTTTCGCATGAACTTTTTTCAATTTCATTACAAAAAGAGCAAATTATTCGTGAATCATAAAATCAACATTATCTACTGACCTGGAGGTTGACGGTTGTTCGACCATTAAAGCTGGATTTCGAATTTCATGATATTCATCATCTTTGGCCTTCATCTCGAACTCATATGCTTTAAGATCACTAAATAATTTGTCAGTTGACAACATTCTTAGATCTCGGTGATCTCGCATAGCTTTAACCTTCATATCCCAAGCGGATTGGAGTACTCGTAGGATTTTGAGATTAATTATTTTCTTTTGGCTAATATTTTTGCTAAGATCATTAATCTCTCCCAGAATCTTGATCATTCTTGCTTCTAGATCAGTAATACTTTCATTTGAGAGTATTTTGAAATCTTCAAATTTCTTCATGGCGATTGTGAGTTTGTCGTCTTTCTCTTGTTCATCTCCTTCGCCAATCTTGATGAGAGTTTCTCAGATTTCGTTAGCTGTAACACACTTTCGGATCTTCAAAAATATTGTATCATCCACGGCTTTGAATAAAATATCCTTGGCAATATTGTCAAGATTATTCCGTGTTTTATCCTCCGATGTCCATTCCGGTTTCGGCTTTTGTACGTACTGTGGAACATCCGGGATAGGAAAAATGTCGTATTGATTTTAAATATTTCAATAGGGCCAGTGGAAATTGCTTCCCACATTTCATCGTGTAAAACTGATAAGTGTACCTGTATACGAACTTTCCAATCATCAAATATATCAAGTGAGAATAACAAGTTTTGAGCTAAATCATCTTCATCATCTTCTCGTGAGATAAGAAGAAATTAATCCAATCACACACTTTGTAATATAGATCTTCCTAGCAGTCAGAAACAGGTTGACCCAAATAGGCAACGTGCTCTGATACCAATTGTTGGTCCCAAAAGAGGTAAGGTAAAATTCTAGAGGGGGGGGGGGGGTGATTAGACTTTTAAACCGTTTTCGCAAATTACGACAATTGCTAAGGCAACAGAGAAACCAAAACTCCTAACTAGATTGTTAGAGTCTGGTGCACAGCGGAATAATAAAATAGGTGTTGTGTGATTGTGTCAAGTATATCCTCGTGAAAAGCAAGCAAGAAGCAGTAAGTAAATAAAGAAGTAAAGA